TTGTGCCATGTGTTCTTGAGAACATCTGCGTAACTGGCATCCATTAAACATAGAACGTGGAACTAGAACAGTCTTCTCCAGTGAGTGAATTATAAGGTTCAGTTCGACATTCCAACAAACTGAAGAAGGCCGGAGCGTACAACGGCCGAAACCTTGTAATAAATATAGTGACAAAGATGAGGAAAATAGTTCGATTAATATCAATAGTGCCAAAAAAATATTATCGCATCTTCCTGACTAAACAGAAAAAAGTCTTTGTGGCGACAAACATGAAAATGTGCATTTTATTATTTAGAAGATAATTTATTCTATTTCTCTCGAGAAGTAAAGCTCAGCACCGCTCAGCTTCACGGAGACAAATTACACTGACAATTCTTTATCTATGAATCGTGTACAGAAAAATTTTGAGCGCGAGAATTCTTCTAACAATTACCTCCTTTTTGGTCATTTGTTCAGATTTGGCGAAATATGAGTGACCAAACAATATTTCAACACCCACCTGACAGACCTATGCATAAATACATTATATATATATATATATATATATATATATATATATTCGGACTACTGTCCTCATATTTGTTGCAATATCTATTACAATGTTTCGGCCGTTGTACGCTCCGGCCTTCTTCAGGTAGTTGGAATGTCGAACTGAACCCTTTATTTCGCTCACTGGGGTAAACTGTTCTAGTTCCACGTGCCATGTATAATGGATGTCAGTTATCAGTTATCTCCTGTTAATTCCCCTCTCCAAGTTCTCCACCGCCTTAAACAGGTATTAAACTCACACTCTTTGGCTCCTGTCACTGGATCTAACCAACACCTTTATACACTGTGCCGCGTGTCCAGAAGAAGTCCTGAGCGTACAACGGATGAAATGTTGCAATAAATATGGCGACAAAGATGAGGACAATAGTCCGAATAATGTAAAGAGTGTACATAATGCCTCATCTCAGAAATATAAACATCTCTCTCTCTCTCTCTCTCTCTCTATATATATATATATATATATATATATATATATATATATATATATATATATATATATATATATTTACTACGGGGCTGTGGTCAGTCGTCATAACCAGCACTGGAAGAACCGTGAAATACGAGTGTGGATAGAATGGGTCCCGCCTCAAGGAAGTTACAGGAATAATAAATTAAATATACAATTGTAGCTGTATATCGGAGGACATTATCTATTTTCGTAGGGCTATTAAAAAAAAAAAATATTCCAATGAATGCTAGCTCGAACGATGAATGATCCCAGGAAGCTACATAACCAAGATAATAACGGAATTGAAGAATATAGCGTGAAGCTTAATTTGTCAAGACAGAGGACAATATAATTGAAGTTTTTTCATGGATACGTGAATAAGATATCTTCTATCTAGGATCAGAATGTTATCGAAGTCGTCCAGATGGTGTATCGCCTTGGCGTAGTAGGACGGCTTGCGTTATTCAACGACCTCCAGAGCTATGTAGGCGGGGTCTTCTACTTTTAGTTCTAAATAGGTCTGTAGGGCAAAAGCCAGACGAAAGACACACCTTAGTCCTCTAGGTTGGGAGTTGTGCAATAGGCTAACAACCTACTCACTTAAAAACTAGCTTGTTGCAGAAACCTCTACGATATCTTCAAACAACGATATGGCTGAGTATGAGTCCATCAAAATGAAGCGCATGATGCGTACTGGTAAATATCCCACGGGAAGGCAGCCGACACAGCATGGGCCGAGCTGAAGAGGATCGCCCGGAACCGCGTCCGTTGGAGAGGGTGTTGCTGTGACGCTGTGTTCCACAAGGAATTAAGAGGTATAATGAAATGAAGATATCGGAGAGTGCAAATATGGCATAAGGATCTATTTTGACTCCTAGGAAAACTCGATCGATTTGCGAAGGATATTAGAATAATCCCCAAATACGACTGAGAGAAAAACTCTTGCATGCAAACTGAAAGGAAATTGTGTAGATAAACAAAAATAGATGGGTCTGAAAGACAAGCACTGATCATCTCAACGGATTTATCAAAACTTAACAGCGTAAACTATTTATATTATTCGGATTATGTTTGTGTTCGTGTGTGTGAATCCGATAGATTTATTACTTTAAACATAATTCATATGGATGTACATATTTTAGTAAACTAAACTCCTTCTTTTTTCATTAGAAATATACGTATTTATTTTCGTCTTGCCTAAATATTTGAGAAATCTTTTTTTAAAGTAATATATGCACTCCTCAGCAGTATTCTAGCCTTTGTCCTCTTTGGCATGAGAAACCCGTCGTTAGATCCAAGGTGATTTAGACTGACTCAACCACAAAATCTGATGTCGATTAAACAATGTTAAAGAGTGCCTTATCAAGAAAAATGTTTCTAAAACTCCCGAAAGATAAATATTTGCTCAATTTCGTATCCTAATATAAAGCAATTTCTAAAGAAGTGCATTGTTGATCAAACTAAGTTGAATAGCATTTTCTGTTCAAGATTCTGAGAAATATTCCGGTTGATAAAAATCAATGAAAATATATGCTTAGGTTTGTAACTATATATATATATATATATATATATATATATATATATATATAATTGTGTGTGTGTAAGCATTCGACATCCATATAAAAGTTTAAGTACATGTATGTATGCGCGGCGCACATATATAATAGACAAACACACAACACTGCACTTCTTTAGAAATTGCTTTACATTAGGATACGAAATTGAGCAAATATGTATGTATAGATAGATAGATAGATAGATAGAT